GTAGTAGTAGTAGTAGTAGTAGTAGTAGTAGTAGTAGTAGTAGTAGTAGTAGTAGTAGTAGTAGTAGTAGTAGTATTATAGCCCCTTGCATGCAATTTTCCTGTTTTGGAAATTTCCGCTTATAATGTTTACAAGGGGGAGTTTTGCTTGTTTGAATTGATAGACTTGGATTTCAACATAGTGCGCAATGCAAGTCGATTGCTAGAAGTAAACAAAATAGAATAAAAACTTAACTGAAATATGCTCCTGAATTGTACAACAAGTACGTTTATTTTTAACGTCTGATGGACGCACAGAGAAAGGCTGCCCGTTCCAGGGAGAAGGGACATTTCAGATAAAGTTTAAAAACAAATTAATTACTTGAAAAGAAGAATCAGAATTGTCATGCAATTAAAATTGTATGTACTAACGCAAAGAGAATCAAAAGTTATCACATAAATTAACTATGATAATATTGTTGTGTTGGAAAATAGATACTTTTCCTCTTTTTTGTTGAAATCTCCTACTGCTGTTGCTTTAATAATGTGGTTTGTAGTTTTGATATAACTGCTGTGATGGCGTAATAGACAGATTCAGCCTGATTGCTTGAATCAAAGCACGAATATCATCACTCAATACCTAAATAAAATATATTTCGGAATAAAAATTACCGGGGGACTTCTTTGGAAACCACCAAGAGACTTGCAGAATATGGTCGTTAAGGCTACTTAACTACATGTAGGCTACTTATCGGCAAGCTGTTCAAATTTACGCAGCCCACGACGCAAATATTTTCAGTAAAAAAAAACGAAAAAACAAACAAGCAAATAAAAACTGGCCTTGTTTTAACAAATGTATAGATCTATAGATTGAGCATTTTTTTTTCTTTTTTTTTTCTTTTATTATTTTTTTACAACGTTTAAAATTTGAATTTCGACAAACAAGTTTTTTGGGCACATGGGACCGATGACAACAGGTTAAAAATCTACAGTTTTAAAATAAATCTAAATTTTTGGGCTCAGTACATTGGAAAAATCAGCCGACGTTGTGCAGCTTACAATAGGTGATAGCTTTTCTCTGTAGGCCCTATGTCTCCTATTAAGATGTGTACGTGTATCAATTACCACACATTTTCCTCTTTGAGTCTGTAATGTAATTGTTAGATTTTTGTAGAAAGTAGTTATCCTTGTAATAGTGGTTACTTTATGATTACATGTAATATGATTGTTTGACTACTACTACTACTACTACTACTACTACTACTACTACTACTACTACTACTACCAGGGGCGAAGGCTGACAGGGTAATCAAAGTGAAACGGGACCAGATATGGCCTGTAGATATGACACAAGAATCTTACTCGAGGCGGCGACTCTGAGTTGTGAATGAAAACAAATCCGGAATTCATATTGTATGTTCAACCGCCAAAATAATCGGGAAAGTATCTTATTAAATATCAGTTCCAACTAAAATTAAATCTAACTTTAGATGTGAATACATAAACACAAAGCAAAGAAGCAGAGACGTCAGTATTAGATCTATATGTTATAGATCTACCAGTGAGTCTAACTCTTTGGTAGAACATGACAATTATCATTTTTTTAATTTTACATTTGGCTGTTTTTGTTAGCCTTCCGCGGCCAGGAGCTGGTGTCATAATCGAGGTCACGATCTGATTATAGGACGGTAAAAAGTCGAGGAAAAAAAGCAAGTACTTGCAACAGTGAAGAGATTGTTAGGAGTTAGTTCCCCTCACATTTGTGAGGTAGACTCGACCAGTGTTAGTTAGCTTACATAATCAGGGCTTGAGATTGATTTTAATTGTGACCCCAAATGGGTGAACAGGGTATATGTGGCAATGAAACAGCTTAGACTGCTATGCACATATTCCCTTCAACTATATTGGTGGACTCTTCCAGCCTCACTTTAAGCTTACTTAATCAAAGCTTGCGACTGCTTATGGAGTGGCCCGAGAGGGGTGAGGAGGCTATTTCTGAGGCGTGAAACCGTTTTGAATGTTAGGCATACTGTTCATTGTTGATTACGAACGTCTTTTGACATTTAATTTAAGAGGTTTACGTTTATGGATGAATTTGACAGCGACAATGTTTCAAAATTAGAAAGGGAAGCAGTGATTATTTGATTATATAGACGCTTCGCCCCTGACTACTACTACTACTACTACTACTACTACTACTACTACTACTACTACTACTACTACTACTACTACTACTACTACGACTACTACTACTACTTATCATCATCATCATCATCATCATCATCATCATCATCATCATCATCATCATCATCATCATCATCATCATCATCATCATCATCATCATCATCATCATCATCATTATCATAACTATAATTTTCATAATCTTTTGATTTTTTTCAACGTCCCAACCCTTATTAATAATGTTTATTTTGTTTCTCTCTCACAGGTCAAAGTTTGGTTTCAGAATCGTCGTACAAAGTACAAGAAGGACAGAGAGCGCCACGAACTCCTCACAGACTCCACAGCGGAGAGCAAAGCCGCCCAGAACGTGCTGAAAATGCTGGAGTACAAAACATCTATTTTGAGCAGCGCACCAACAAACAACGCAACTTGGCAACAGTCAGGAGTGGCGTGGACACCCAATCTGGTTCTGTCAAAAGACGCGCATGCGCATGGTACAGTAACGTCTCAACAAGGGGCGCTTCCGAGGCACTCTCTCGGGCCTTGCGGAACAAGATCTACACCAGTTGATGTCGATAGTGAGGAGGAGAACGCAATACTACGGAAGGAGGATGAGCTTGTCGAGTCTGGAAGATTGTTTCAATTCAGCAAAGGGAGGCTTTCGTCCCCGGAAAATTCTGGGCATTTTCAGGCGCCTGAAGGAGAAGGAGAGGCTGATGAATCCTCTGGTATTGGCGATCTGCAAGGACAGGTAAAGTACAATACGATCACTTTTAATGTTTCGCTCCTCCATAGATACAATGTAGAATTATGTAGGAGGCGGGCTGCTTCCAACTAAAACAGGGCTAAATCAAGCTGAGCAGGATACAACATTCTAACAGAAAGACTACGACACCCAGTTACACAACTCATAGCATGATCTTTTGAATGTAGTACAGAAAAGCTATTCCATTACGCTACCGATATCGTTACTTAAAGTGGAGAATCAATGGCTGTCTGCAAAAAGAGAAACAAAAACGTTGAGGAAGTTACAACTTTATGAATTGCAAAAGGAGCAATGTACATGGACAAGAGCTGATTATGTGCACTTCACTTCATTCTTAATGTCGACCTTTTGTATGGGAAGTTACTTTGTATAACAGATTCAGAAGCCAAAAGTTTGTTTTGCAATTCGTTCAAGTCTTCCTTTTTTTACCTTTCCAGGCTGGTTATTTTTTAGGACAGCGTCGAGTACCGGTATGTGGAGGAAGAAAGATAGAAGCACAAAGGCGTTTGTCGAAAAACAACAACAAACAAACAAATAAACCACAACAACAAAATAAATCAAGCTAACTGATATGTAGGGGTTGCTTAACATTTTACAGTGACTGATTTCACCAACCTAAGTAGGAAGTTATTTAGACTCATTTTAAGTTTTGAGGCTATACGTTTCTGAGCTAGACATTTCAGTAAAATCTAATGTCTAGACTTCTTTCAAACTCGCCTCTTTGAAAACAAAAATGATTATAAATACTTGTCGTCCTTTTGGACAACATTTGGGCTGAAACAATCAGATTCTCTGTAAAATAGAATTGGTTATCGAACTCAGGTCTTTGTGTGCAACATGGAGAGCCATATAATTACTCGACGGATGCCTGCTCTACTTTTAGTCAGAAAGACGTGATTCTTTGTGCTTGTATCTTAATTAATATTGTGCTTGGTTTCTTTCAGTTAAGCAGAAGATTGGAGGCAACAACAACCACATTTGGAGTTACTGCTCCTCGCATTGATGGAATCAGGATGCGCTGCGCAGATGCACCAACACCCGGGCAAGTGAACTCTAACCTCACTCTCCTTCATGAAGTCCGACGTCCCAATGTAGAGTACAGACCCTCGTGGAGTCAACATCCATCCGCAGCACAATGGTCCCCATCCTCGTCCTCTTTGCTTACGAGACACAACAGTCACTGGACCATACAAGTGCCGGAGTCATCGGTTTACGCACATCGAGCTGTATGCCCATCGGGTATTCACAGTGCAACAATGCACAGCCGATACCAATCTGGGGTCGAGGAAGCGATTCAATTTGGGGTACAAAACGTTTCCCAAAGTCTACCCTGTATTGAGGATGTTCATCGACCTGCTCATGCAATGAGTTGGCTCCCGAGCTTTAATGCCACATACAGTGCTGCTATCAGGCCCGATGTTATTAAAGGCAGAGAAATAATTAACACACGGATGGCGTGGGGAGTGTTTCAGCCTCCTCCAAACTCAACAGCGGACCCGGTAGCAAATAACAACATGTCACAATTTCCCAGGATAGACCCAGGACATCGACATTCTTCTTCCATTGTCCCGAGTCAAAGGCAGATTCTGCCAACTTCCTACAGCTACAACCCAGCCTTCTGCGATAGATCCTTTCTGGCTCGGACATAAACAGACCCGCAAAGATACCAAATCGGTACAAGCATTCTCATGCCCTTAATTATTTTCTCTCCAAACACGTTTTAATTGGAAAAAGAACAGGAACCAGAAAACAGTGCTTATTCAAGATTAAAACATGCTTGTACTGTTTTCTGTTATCGTTGCAAAACATTTCTTTTCCTGCATGTAATTAGGCGAACAAGTGCTGTTCCATGGAAATGTCCTATGTTCAGTCTTGTAAAGTGTAAGTGTAAAGGTTTAATGCCCCTATCAACAACATTAAGTTATTAAAGAGATGGAACTTCTGAATTTAACGTCCATCTCCGATAGGACCAAGGAAAATAGGTTGAGAGCCTTGAACACTTCACAAAATAACCCGAGTTCAAGAACGCCAAGTCTGGGATTCGAAACCGGCCATCCGATCCATAGACCAGAATA